CCCCCAAAGGGGTCTCGACCCACAGGTTGAGAACCGCCAAGTTAGGAGATTGTTCCCACCAGGATCCAAGTGTGGGCACATGCCCCTTATTCAGCTGTTCAGATTTTGGGATGACTCCGGGTGCACGTCTAGCCCTGGGCCCGTTTAAAGCCAGGAGAAAATGGATGCTTAGGCTCTGGAGACAGAGGCCCAGGCACCTCTGGAACCTCACAGAAGGCTCTTCCACCAGCCTGCTTCGGGGCGCCATGTCTGCTCCATAGGCCTGTACGACCTGGCAGGTCCCTGCCACTTTCTAAAAAAAATTTTAAGGCAGAAGCATGATAACCCTCAAGGGAGACTGGCTGGCCGATGTCCCTCAGAGCTCTGTGGATACTCTCTTTGACTTTGGTGTTGACCTGCTTGTTTGTGCCCCCTAGATGGGCAGGGCCAAACAGCCTTTATATTCCCAGTGCTTAGCCAGGTGCCTGGCATCCGGTGGCATTTCATGCCTCTCCAACTCCAAGCCTACTTCCAGGCCCCGCAGGGCCAGCCTCTCCCATCTTGTGTTGACAGTGGTTTTCCATGGCCTCACACACCTGCCCGCTTTCCCCCTTAGGCTCTGTCGGCAATCTAAGCTCTTAATCTGGGCAGCAGTGGCGATGAATTCTGCTGTGTCCACAGCCCATCCTGGGTCAGTGGTGTAAAAGGGTGACAAGGCACGGAGCTGCCTCACGCCGCCTGCACGTGGTGTGGAGAAGCACCTCGCCGTCAGGCTCGACGACGACAGGCTGCGTGGGTTTTTGCAAATATCGTGCCCACCCACATACCATGTAAGGGCGCGCTTAGGAAGATGAGCCCCGTCGTACAGTCTGCAGGAAGTACAGGGTGGACCTAGCCGTCGCCCTCTGCTCCTGGCTACCAAAATTCTCACAGTATTAACATAGGAAACCTGCTTCTAGGATTTTCAAGATTCCACGTCGGTGGTTTGACCAGAGGGTGAATTAAGTGGCCACAGGCACCGTGCAGAAGGAGGGGGAGAGGACTGAAATGGGGTGAAGTCGACGGTGTGTGGACTGGCTGAGAGAAAGGAGGGGAAGAGGAACAGAATCTGCACCACCATCACCCCCCCAACACCTCCCACCTGGCACCCATGCCAGG